TAAGTTATGTTTGGTTAAGGAACATTGTCCAAAAAGGCATTTAGTTTTCAGTTTTAAGGCCTTGGTATTGTGATGCAGAGGCTACTCTCAGTAGAAATGACAATGTACTTTCCCAGATTTCATGGTTCCATTTTTATTGATAATATTTTTGTTAAATGATCCAGTTCCATGAAGTCAAGGGATTTCATGAGAACCTCAGCTTCTATTAAACATAAAAGGAATAATTCTGTAGTCCTTATTGTTAGAAGGAAAAAATGCATAAAACATGGAATAAATTGTCCTGAAGGGTCATCAATTCCAATGGAAATTAACAAAAACTTTTTTATTTAATAATTATATTTATAATGTCTGGCCATTTAAGGAACCATGCTTTCTCTTATTACATCTTTAAACATCTGTAAAATTTTGAGCTAAACATTTAGCTTTAAAAATTATGTTTTTGAAAGGTTGGTAAAAATCCAAATAGAAATCCAAATTACTACACAATAGTAACCAATCCCATTTCTTCTCTTAGACTCATAAAATGACTGAGATTGATCACCAATGAGGTACCTATTATTTTCCTTTTAAAAGATTTTATGTCAACAACACAAGTTCAAACCAAGGTATATCCCAAAGGAGGTAATTTAATTTATAATGAGAGATGAGGTTCCCAAATGGAGTCATGATCAGAAAATGGGTGTTCAGATCTTTCTGTAAGTTTTTGTACAATGACATAAAACATCTTTTGTCAACAAATAAATTAGCTGCTGTCACATTACCATGAGAGTTTTCATTTCATTTTAAACTTTCTCCAAAATCTAATGCACATACTCTTCTTTCCAAAACAATGAACGTTAGATCCCCATATAACATCATAAGTTTGTGAAATGAGGGATAACAGTGTATCTGTTAGGAGAAAATCTCTAAGCCATCCTAAAGTTTATCCTTATTTTAATGGTAAATGTTCTCAAACATTGTTGAAAAAGGTGTTGAAAAGCCATCAGTTAATACAGTTTAGACACTGTATGTGTTCAGATAAACTGCCTTATGTTACTGGATCCCTGGAATATCTGTGAGCTTTTCACCCACTGATCTCAAAGTGCTTTTCAAACACACACTCCAGCACCCATGCTGAGCTTTAATATATCCTTCTTTACTATACAGCTGGAGAAGGCCTGCATTCTGAGCTGTGAGTAAAATTCCAATTTAAGCTGTAATACTGCTTGTACTTTGATTACTGACATCCATCTCTCGCACACCTTTTGGAGACCACAAAACCTCCATGGATGCTTATGGCCAGAGGGCTGGAGGGACCTCCCTCCATCCTGTGAAGTCTCCAAGGAAGACGATCTCATTGCATCCTGCAGAACACAGACACTGCTCACTTCGTAAGGGGCTGCCAGACTTATCTGTAGGTGAAATAAAGCTCTGACCACCACCTCCAGACATGGTTATAGAGCATTCTGCATCCACTGCAGGGCTGAGTAGTCACACGTGTCCTCCTGCCTACCGGGGTGCTCTGGGAGGAACCTTTTCATGAGACTCCCTTTGGGAGCATGAGACTTTAAATGGAACAGTTAATCCTTGCTAGGACTTTTACGAGGCATGTTTGCCTGGCCAACTGGCTGCACACCTTCCTTGTATTTATTATTTTAAAACATGAAGATCTGCCTCCAACCAGTTATATCAACTACTCCCCACCTATAGCGTGTGCTAATAAGAAAGATGTTTGTGATTCCTATGGAAAGTCTGGATATAGCATAGTAATGCCTTATGCTGAGGCGTGATTAAAAATTGAATTTGTGTCTCATTTTTAGCCACAGGCGGTAGATTCAGAAAAGGCAGCTCTTTTATAAAGATACCGTGGCGGCCTTCATTGATGAAGCCTGTTCCACAAAGGTAATACCTCTCATATAAGGTAGGCACCTGTGGCTCTGTTCTCGATCTGTCAGTAAGCACAGACCAGAGAGAATTCTTTGGGGTGTGAGAAGACAGCGTTCTCCTTCCTGCTAACTCAGCTCTTGGCTTGGAGGCAAAATAAATTAATTCAGAGGTATGTGCTTAGAAAGATGTGACTGAAGCTTAAAAATACAGGAATGCAAAAATTCAGCTGACAAGAGTGTAATTGGACCACTGGGCATTTTTTTCACTGTTTTTATTGAATTTGGATTATTTTTTTATTATTATTATTATTCCCATCCAGTGCTCATGAGGCAAGGGGCAAACCTGATCTCTGGACCCTGGGTGTGATAGTTTTCCTGTGGTTTATTCACATAGCTCTGTGTCAGATACTTGGCTTTTTCCTTGTGAAGCAAGAGTTTACAAATAGCGAATGCCCCTGTGGGCACACAAAGCAGCATGCTGAGGAAGAGGAGACCTCTCCCTAAGTATCCCACATTAGGGTCCTCCAGCTGCTTTGCTCTGACATGCCCTCTGCACCCAAGGGCTTGTGGTTGCAAAGAGCCCTCCTTCCACGTCAGAGAGTGCATGGAAGAAAGGATCCTAATCCAGATTCCAACTTTCCTTTGTGGGACTTAATTTAGTAAGCTCTTAATATATCCCTAGGAGGAGTCTTGTTATTGCCTGCAGTTTTTCTTCAATCAGTGCCCATGGGACTAGATGACTAAATTTGATAATTTTGGGGGAGGGAGGTAGCTAATTTGGTTGGGTCGGAAATGCCTTGAGCTGAAGGGAGAGGCAGGCCAGGAGTGGTGGTTAGCAGGGAGGTGGAACTGTCATTGCTGGTTTCATGGCTCTCATGTGCACATTGACTTTCCTGATCGCTGCGCCTCAAGCACACTTCATCCCACAGCCCAAGAGCATGCTAGGTCATCCTGGCAGAACCTCCGCAGTTTGCAACAAAATTTTGAGCTCCTGGGACCAGCTCCCATCTTTCCTCAAGTCAGTAGGTAAATTTGACCTTGTCTGAGACCGAGTCACACAGAAACGGATTCAAGGCCAGAAGAGAGGAAAGCAGAGGGCAGATTTGCCTGTGAGCAGGCAGCACACATAGCTGTCTTCTCCCTGCTCACAGGGGCAGCCATCGGACCTGCGACCTGGTGAGCCTCCCACTTGGGCCACGACCCATCAGGGGCTGTTGTAGCCACATGTGACAAGGATGGATGAAACTTAATGCCAAGGCTGGGGAACTCTGAATGATTCTTACTTCACTGAGCTCTGCCAGGGAAATATTATTTATTTTTCAGAGCTGCATATTTTAAGCCCAGGGAGATCTCTCTTCTTTCATGCCCAGAGGCTGGATGTTATCAGCCCAGCTGCTTCAAAAGCACAATCCTTTAGTTTCAGTATCTGCAGCATGTGGGTTTAAAACAAGCTCAAAATATATCTCTTTCTTATCAACCCTCTCGAAATTATCTGGGAAACACAGATCTGGGGCTTTAATTGCTGTATTTCTGAGTCTGCTTGTCACTATGAGGCTTTATGAACCCAGAAGCATCTGTAGGCAGTGGACTGTAGTGCAACCCATTGGAAACCATGTGTGTGTGAAGGAGAACTGAATGAACATGGGAGCAAGTACAGCAACAAAAGGTGCCTGTGTGAATATCTCTACTTTTTTACCAAGTGAAAGCTCCTTACGTTCTGCAGAATTGAAGCAGACAGGACAAGTTCCCAAAATAACTTAAATTCCATCAGCATTAGCCAGTGTAACAAAAATAAAACCTAAGCCCTTCATGGCATGTGGGGCATTCTCCTCCCCACTCCCCACCTTGTGTTTGCTACTATCTGACACCTAAATGGTAAAAAAATAAAATATCTTTCAACAGGGACGGTGCTGTGGAAGCTTTATGAATGCATGGCTAGGTTGGTCCGTGCTCATTTGTGCAACTTGGCTTGCATTGTTCGCTGGGTCTTTGCCAAACGTATCTGTTGCGTAATTATGTGGCTTGCTTTAATAAATTCACAGAAGTTTCTAGGGATGTAACTAATGTTTCCCCCTCCTTTCTATAATTATACGACACCCACTACAATGAGACCCAGGTCCTAACTGGTGGATTTGTGCCATGATTTACAGTAACTATCAAAGCAAATTCTATAAAATAGCAAAATAGAAACACTCAGCTATACATTTCAACAGCTGAGAGAAGACTTTTAAAAAAATAAACTCTATAAAATCATAAAAGAAGTTATTTGTCTGTTCACTTAATAAATTGCCTAATTTCCTTGTGAGCACAACCAGCTTTAACTGATTTTCTGCACTGCACACTGACTTAGACTGAATAATACTGGCTTAAACCGAGAGAAGTCTCACTGAAGTCAACTTCATTACTTAATATTTCTGCACGGGAAAGTCAAATACAGCGATGGCAGGCATGGCTTCACATCCTGATGGTCTGACTGTGCAGACAAGCCCTTGTACGTGAGCGAGCAAGGGGAACATGTGAGAAAGGTTCTCATGGTTTCAGCTTCAAAAGTGTCTAAGAAGGTTATTTAATAAGGAGCTACAAAATGTGCTCATTGTTTTGGAGTCTTTCCAAGCTCTTCCCTCCAAAGATCTGGTTCCAGCATATATGATTCAGGGTTGGTTATTCCATGCTCATGTATTCCAAGGGAAATGGGATGACTTCTATGTTGAGGTACTAGACAGTATGATTAAGGGTGTTGGAGCTTGGGCCGTGCAATTTAGAACCTTTTAAAATGTTTCCATCCCCACATCTGACCTCACTGAATTTATTTCATATGCATTTGAAGGAATAGCCTTGCAAAGTTATTTTCTCTGCAACAGAAATCGGTGGGCTTTCAAAGAACAAATTAAATGTACATACACAAAATATGCATTAAAAAAATCAAACATGCTTCGTGGTCACAACAAACGCCCGTCTTGTCAGAGCTTTATGGCCTACTTCTTATAGTACCTTCTGGTTAACAGTATCTGTAGCACATTTCTTTAGCAAAAACACAGTTACGGAGTGGCAGTGTGCAGCAGCCCAAACTGCCTCAGCTGCAAACCCGTGGCTAGAACGTCGGTACATACCCTATGAAGTTACCCTTGGGCTTACCTAGGTCAGAGCACTGCACCACGCGAAGATGGCACTGGCAGCGGAAGGGGCACACTGGTCCAAATCCAGACATGGCGGGATCCTCCGTTGGAGGCATATCGGCCGACCCTTCATCCTCCAGCATAAAGTCAAAGAGGCCCTGCTGGTGGAACGGCTTGGCCAAGCATGCTGGCAGCAGTAGGACGAAGAGAAGAGCCAGCCTCATGGCTTAGTTCATCGACTCCGGGCAGAACCTAGGGATCAAAGCGGGAGATTTACAACAAAAGTAGCGGTTTCCCATAGCTGCACAGTTCCTGCTGCAGGAGGTCCAGCATATCCACCAATTGCATAACTGTTCCTTTCACTAAATGAAAACTGAATTATGAAAATAGGGCAGTTATGTGATAGGAGTCTGGTAACTGCTTGTCAGTTTTTGCAGAGCAGTTTAAAGGCAACTGTAAACACATCTGTTTGCATATTTAGAGTAATATTTATTAGGAACAGGCAGCGCTGTCAACTTTGTTATGCAAAACAGTCAAAACAATAAGCCACATTTTCCATGTGTCTGTGTTCTGCCAACGTAACAGTCTATTTGATTTCATTAACATTTGGTTCATAGCAATAATTTTGTCCCCTGGGAATGAACCTGAGGTTCCCAAACTCACTGTAATGCAGTATTTCACGTCTTGAGAAATATTTTTCGAAGTGCCAGCTTGCTGTGTGTTTTAAATTACAGTCTAGTAAAAATGACAGAGAAAAAGTAGGATCTAGCGATGGGGTGGAGATAGAGGGGAAGATCTCTAGTTTTTTAAATGAGCGATAGTTCTTTCCCATTTTAAACAGCACAATAAAATGGAATACTATGTTGTGTTATATTGGATATTCTTGGCTTTCTTTCCAAATTTTTGGCTAGGGGATTTTATGATACAAACAATGCACCGAGAAAATCCTCTGGTTTGCACTGCATAAGCATTTGAATTGATGCTTGTAGTATTGTCAGCACAGTTTCTAATGGGACTTCAGGGCCTCATTCTGCAGACTTTCATGCTCAGGAGCAACTTTATGCGAGTATGTATTACCATAGGTATTACCAAGGAAAACTGCTCAAATACATGTTCTCAGGACCTAGGCCTAAATGCATTTCAACACATTGTATGTTGTGCTACCTGGGTTGCTGTGTGCTAAGGAGAAATTACAAAACAGCTGTTTGCAGGGTTTGTATCAAAGCTGTATAGATCAGCTAATTGGCTGTATAGATCAGCTAATTTTCTTTTACTACTTATTTTATATAAGGAATCTTATCTTTTACTAACTTTCATGGGTCTAAAAACCACCCACAAAAAGAAGAAAAAAAGAAGAAACCTGCCTTCAAGTTGCCAAGTGACAGAAAGGCAAACCTGTCATTTATTTAGGAGCTTTTTCTTAAAATGGATGGCATAGTCCTGAACAGTGGTGATGCTCTTTCCAATGAAAGCAAAAATGTCCACTTGCTTCTTCAAGTCAATAGCTTCCAAAATGCCTTGTCTGGATGCCAGCCTGGATTGATTTTTCTCTAGCAGCAGTTATTTAACAGTTAGAGGCGTGGTATAGCATTTCTCAGCTCCATACGGACTAATGGAAAGATAAAAAAACTGGGGGAGAAGCAGAGGAGGACTGTCTCCCGCTCTACATTGAGATATGGAATCTAGCAGGTAGATGACTAACATAGGCAGTTGATGGTAGGCCAGAGTGGTATACTGAGGCCTCTCTTTCTTCAATATGCATGCAGGTACTCTAACAGGAGTGCTTAGAATTAAAAAAGCTAAAGAAATAAAAACCACAGGCCTGGAATTAGGTACGATCTATATTGTGCCTGGGTTCAATTTCCTTTATGAATTTCTATCTATCTACAGAAGCCAATAACGCAATCCTGCAGAAACTTTTAGGGCTCAGCCTTGAGAAGATGACAAGGTTACCTCATAAAATATGCTAGTGTTTTAAAATCATAGCTTACTTTGCTGTCACCTACCTAACAGGAAGACAGGTATCTAAGGTCTTCAGATGTCGCAAAGACTTCAAAGTGACTTCACATGGAGTAAAACACCATTTCTGTTGCCTCTTTAAGTGACACAGTTGGTTTCCTAGTTGGACCTGAAAGTACGTTCTATTCCTGGAGCAGGTACATTCCCTACTGCATGCACTGAGGGGTTTCGCAGACCCCAATGCCAGCTGGGGGGTCAAAGCACTTTAGCACGTCCCGTTAGCCCAACTCAGCGCTGTGCGAACTCGTGGCATGGAGCAGGGGCAGGCGGTGTCCCCATGCGGGCCACCCTCCTGCCCTGGGGCTGTGTCACTTCCCCAGCAACACCCCCGTGGTGCACGCAGAGCGCACGTGGACGAGTGAGTATGTCACAGCAAAGCGGTGTTAATACGTGGTGGTGAGCTCTTACCACGGTTTAATCTAAACCAAGATTTTTGAAATAATCGTTATTACGTATGAATTATTGTAAAATCACAATGCAATTTACTAACAGTCTGAAACAGGAAGACAAATTTGCTAAATCATCACCACTCATCATAATAAATGGCCTTGTGAAAATGATCAATAAAACATTATCCCAGTACAAATTATTTTTCAGAACGCACATTAACATCAATAAACATTAGGAATGCTGCACACCAACCCTGGCATGGCACTGGCAGTCAGCACTGTTTTCTCCAGCTCTTTTTTACATATTTGTGTATTTTTAAAATATTTTTAAATATTTAAAACTACTCGTATTCCCCCCCAGGGTCACTGCTAAAGCACCGTCCATCCCAAGAATGCACAATCAGGATCTTATCCTGGAGTTAAATTACTACCCCTAAAAAAAAACCAAACCAAAACAATGCAAAAGCACTTTGGAATTGTCTTCACACTTTACTTCTTGTTCACATTAATATTGACAACTTCACTTATCTCAGTTAAATCCTGTAGTAGGCCTTTCCCTTTGGTCCCTGTTTTATCAAAACTATAATAAAATCAGTAAGAGCTGTAGGACAACAAAGGATACCAAGGACATAATCTGAGGACACAGCAGAGAAAATAGCAGACACAAGCTACATATTAATCAGGAAACAGGAATAGATGTGTGTCTGCATATCTTTATTTGTATATATTCGCACGGCAGGCACACATATCTGTTCTTATTGTTTGCATGTGTAAATGAACATAAAGTGAGAAAAAATATATACAAAACTGTACTAGTAAGAAATGTTTACATTCGACTTACAAAAAAAAACAGAGAGGGAGAAAAAAATCTGAATTCTTAAAGGTCTGTGACACAATATTTATGTCTGCAGGACATAACTGTTTAACTTTGCTTTAATTATGTGTTTACAATGAGGAAAACTTTTCCACAAACAGAGGAAACTATACCGTGGACTTGGCCACATTTCAGTTTAAAATACCACTGGAAATGTGCTTCATCAGTTCACGTCACCACTGTATTGGTGGTCTTCTTGTCAGTTTACCTTAATATTAAGTTTTAAATATTAGTTCACTTACTGTCAGAAATCTCTCAAAATGCCACAAAAGACAAGTTAAACAGTATGTGCAGTTTAAAAAAAAAATCCTCTACGATATCTGTTTTACCCATTTTGTGTAATAAAGTCTAGATGTGCAAACATAGGAGTTGGAAGTTTTAAAGAGATTAAAACTCTGTTAACAGGAGTTTCAACTCCAGGAATTTTCTTTTCTACTATTTCATTCATAGGAACCTTCTTTAAATGTGTGTCCCTTGATTGTACACTGTAACATAGCACTTTCTAACGTTACAAAGGCATACACTGAGCCCATTTAACTAACTACTACATATTTTTTCCTCTGAAATTGCAATTATATTCATTAATGTTTGGAATATATATGAAGAAATCTAAATGAAAAAGAAATCACAGAGTGCAGTTTAAAACCGAAATGTAAGAACTCACACATTTTTTACACTCACTACATCACCGATTCTAAACACTGGATTGCAAACAGAGAATATACTGCTGCAAAAGTTTACAGTAAGGAAAAAGAAAGGACTATAGCAGGGCTTATACAAATCAAAACAAGAGACAGAACAGTCAAATAAACAGTAGGAAATCTGCACGGTCCTTGAGAACGCATTCTCATGTTCCCAAGAAACAAAAGTGCTGGATACAAAACTTAACATTGCTAAACATTTAGTAGGATTTTTTCCTTGCTTCTCTTAAAATTCAACTAGTTCTTGCCGTAGACTTGCCTGAAGTTTTATTAGTGCAGCATAGTTCAGGAGAATTACTGAAAACCGTACCTTTTAATCCAGGGATTTGCAACAGGAGCTCTCAAAGCTGAGATGTAATTAAACTAAATATTCAACCCAGGCAAAAGGCTTTGCAGGTGTGGAAAGGAGGAGGGGGTAAGTTCAGCTCAGTGACTGTCACTTGGTGGAAAACCCTCCTGCTTCTATTCCATAGCACAGTTAAAAAATAAGGTTTCTCTCAATGAACACAATCCAGGCTGACACCCACATTAGATCATATGGTAATGATATGTCTCCTGTATTGTAGCCAGAAACTTTATCAGCTCTTTTGCTTTCTTTTCCTCCTTTTTCCTTTTTCTTTGTTTTATTTCTTTTTCTTCTGTTTAGAATCCCAGACTACGCTATAAGACAGATGTTTAGTTCTAATTCACCTTACTTATTTTATTTATGTCCCTGAAACATATATTTAGGAAAGTTTTCTTGGTTTTAACTATGTTTTTTTTTCTGACTCATTACTGAGAAAAACGTTTGGCTGTTCTTCTTGTTTATGGTATTTGTAATTCAAGGAAATGATGTAAAATTAATTTTAGAGTCAGTCAAAGTGGAGATTAATATCAGAAAAAGGGGTAGCTTTAGGTAAAACTATTTAAACAGATATCAACCTGCCTTTTCTTATGCTATAATCATTGTCAAACCAAGTAGTATATAGTGTAATATACTATTATCCTGTCTAATAACAGAGTTTTTATGTTTTTCTTCAAACTACAGCATGTTTTTGATATATATGAAAATCATGTTTTCATTAGTTGAATGATTCTAACATTTGTGGTTAGAACTGCTTTATATAAACTTGGCTTTTTTTTACTGCTTTCTCACCAGGACAGCAAAGCAGAGGGGAAACTAGGGTTTGGGGGTGGGTTTGGTTTTTTTGTTGTTGTTTTTTTTTTTAAAAGACAGTGGAGCTTTTTTAAAGCATGAAAGGAAAAATGTATCTGACTCATTGTTCAGATTTACATTTTATTTTAGTAAGTTCTGTTTTGATGCAAATATCAATAGAAGCTAAAATGCAGTTTCTCTATTCCTGCACAATTTTGAAAGCCTAGCAAACTGAAAGGAGAGCAAATACAATAATTACTATTTATTTAGTAATCCAAACACATTGTGAACATGTGTATCTTTCCTGTGCTGTTAGCTGTCCTGTCTAAATACTGGAAGCTTGTGTCTCTGTGTTTTGACTTGTATCCTTTTATTTCTGCCCCTAGGCTAAGACCAGGTGCAAATCTGAAATTAAAGCCTGTAAAATGTGAAATGATGTTTAAAAGAAGTCTGAATTTTTAGAAACACAATAAACACTGGAAATTTTACCTATTCTCTTTGTGTAATTTCAAGAAGAGCCATTAAAACAGCCCTTATAATTGTTCTCCTTTCATGGAAGAGAACATGGTAGAATAATTCACTGCTGGTTTGGGTCGGTGTAGCGCAAAGGTGTAATCAGTCATTTTACATTACAGCTTCTTTATATAGTTCACTCTAAAAGTTAAAGATCATTTATTCCCCCCTAGTCCTTGAGCTAACTTCTGTCCCCTGTCTTTCCACTGGATTCAAGACTGCTAATGATTTTTGTTGTGACATTTTTCTACATGTGATTAGTGGTGTTCCAAGCTTTCATGCTTACAACAAAGCCTTATCTTTGTCCAGAAGTGTTGCCATGAGGCTTGCTGAAATCTTGGCTGCATCTTAGTAATGTCAGTTATTTGAACCTTGGTCACCAGCTGCATCTGGTGTTTAGAAACATTTCAAAGCAAGATTTTGATGAGGAACAGGTCAGGGTAAACTTGTTGTCAGTTTGCTTCACAAAACCCATTCATATCCTTTCCCAGTAAATTGTAATACATTTGTTCTGATATCTGTTATGGGGTTGAAAGGTTTTATAATTTAATGACTTAGTCATGTCTTTGGAATCACAGGAGGAGATGGGCAGCCACCTCTCCTTCTTTTTTGTCTTGGGCATTAGGGAGAGTCAAAAACATGAAGATCAAGGTGGGAACAGGTGGGGCACAGGGCGCCTGCCGGGTGGGCTGGGGGTCCCAGTCTGCCTGCACAGCACCTACTGCATGTAGAGGGAGAATTTGCCTACTTTTTCTGTAAAGTCCATCCCAAGAAGCTCAGAGGGGAAAAGTTGTTACCACCTTAGGAATTCTGAAAACACTTATGCTGTCTGTTGATACCCAGAGGTAGAAGGGGTATGCGTTAGGTGTTCAAGACCTCCTGAAATGCAAAGTGGAGTATGTGGGCGACAGAGCAACTGAATGGGAGAGAATGGATCCTTTCTGATACAAGTATCGCTTTAACCCCCCTCTTTGCCTCCTGCTATGTCACTCAGAAGATAAACAACTTTTTTAAAAAAACAACCCAAGGACAATATTAAGTCATTATGCAATTTTAAGGCCCACGACCATACACAGGACCTAGCATCGATAAGCTCTCCTTCCCAGTCTGACCTACTTTGATTACAGCTTAGTCAATATAAAAAAACCCTGATTAGAACAATCTTGGTTTCTATACAATTTTATTACTCCAATTTAACAACTTTATAGGTCTACATGCTGCTCCAAATACTGATTCCCAGAAAGTTACAGGCAACTGCATGTTAATGTTATTTATATAACAGTCTTTTTATTAAATTTTGATGGATAGCATCTGCTTCATTTGCTCACAGCTTATTTTGTGGACCGTTCAAAGGGCAGTGGTGGAAGAGAAGACAGGAAGCCTGCTTGCCTGCTGTTGCCTGCTCTGCCTGGGTCCGGTGGAAGTCTCTGCAGGAAGGAGATGAGCAGGTGCCCTGTAAGGAGCAAACATACCCTGGGGGAAGAGCTCCTGGAGCATGGAGCTGGGCTGGGAGAGAATCACGTCCAACAGGCACCCAGTGCTGCCAGCACAGGTTGCAGACGCCTCAGAAGAACGGGGAGCTGACATAATCTGCCCCCGGGGTGGAAAGAAAGGCTTTTTTTTAGGTAGCCTGGAAAAAAAGGGTAGTATTTATTGCAGCCCAGAATGTTACTGGAATAAAACCAAAGCAGAAGGACAGGATCTGTCCTGCAGGAACACGGTGGCCCAGAGATTCAGGTTCTTCCTCATTCTAAGTTTCCACTACAGAAAAAGGCATTTTTCTTGGGCTGCCTTCTAATAGATCTCAGCTTTGATGATCAAAGAATGGTTAGCGTTGTTGTGGTTGTTGTGGTTGTTGTCGTAAGGAAGAGGAGCAGGCAAATCTGCCTCAAAGTCTTCATGGACTAGCTAGGTAAGTGCCAGTTCCCATCAGGAAAGGATGAAACCAGATTCCCTGTTTGGCTGCCTCTCAGGGGCCCTCTCCTCCTCCTCTGTATCTCAAGACTGGGCTTTACTAGCTCCCTAGCATGGCATCCTCCACGTTCTCTAACATGCTACTGCCCGTCTCTCCTCTCCTTTCTACACTATGCATAATAATTTCTTCCAATCACCTGTAGTAAACTGTTCTTTACCATAGCAATGGAGTTCCTCTACTAAAAATGAGAGTAAATATTGACCCAAGCTTAGTAAACATTGATCCAAGTAAACATTGACCCAGGCACGGCCTGACAAGGTAGCTAAAGAGACAGAAATGTAATTTTTGGATATTCTGAGTATCAAAGTTTCCTTCAGTGCTCTGTGACCTTAGAAATTACAGTCCTGAACTTCTTGACATTTCTACAGATCAAAAGGACCAATGTATCAGATTTTGGATGTGTGCTACCAGTAGCATTATTTTCCTGTGGCTGTGAAAGCACTTCTTGTATAACTGTTTGAACAAAATGCAACCAAAGTTCCAAAGAGAGGGCCCTCTCTTTGGAGGAATAGTCTCTTCCGTCACTGTCTGTCTTCCCTTCTCTCCCTTTCTCATTCTGCAAGAGCATATACTGCGTTCCCCTCACGGTCATCTCCCTAATCTCCTCTGAAGGGAGTCTGTGGGATCTACAGGTCACTCAAGGAAACAAATTCAACACTGGCTTTCCTTTCTCCTGACATTTCTATTCTCTCCTGAATCAAATAATTTTGTCAAGGAGTATCCAGCAGCTGCAGGAGCTAACCACATACCAATATAGCCTTACTACGCACTATGATTTCAAATGCTCTGAACGTAACTTCTACCCTTGAGGAGGAAGCCTGTCCTAACTATTCCTCAGTCTTTTGTGGTGTAGACGTACTTTTGGAGATCACTGTTACCTCGCTCCCTCAAAAATGCAGCAAATAGGTAAAACTAGACTTTATGAGTCCTCCCAGTTCCTAGCCATCCTAGAAACAGAGAGTGAGAGAAAAGTAAACGTGATTGTGGACCAAAGACTCTAGAACCTCATTTTGACTTTACCTCTTCACCTTTAATTAATGGTGAAGAAAACATTTACAAAAACATGTGCTATCATATACACTGACGTACCTCTGCATTAGTACTCAGGTGCTCGATTTGCTGTGTTTCAATGATAGACAGCATTACATTTTGTCCCTGCCTGGCTTCTGTGAGAGTGTCAGCAGTCTCCTGCCCTCCAGAAAATCTCTTACAGGAATGAAAGAGAGCGCTGGCA